TCTACAACTTAGTTGAAGAAGTCATGAGCATTTCTACTAGAAATGAAATTTCTCTGGGTCAGATTTTATGTTTATTGTACATATGCTGTTGTGTTGGTAATGGTCAAGGAGAAATTGAATTCTGCTCTTTTTTTTCCTTCTTTTTTTTTCCCTTGAGGTCAGTAATAGGAGTAATAAAAAAGTGAAAACTTAATGCCACCAAGATAAATAAATATCTTCAAATGAGCCCAGGAAGCATGTGCTCTCAAAGAGGAGTGGCAAATGTAGAACTGCACTTTTTGGATTGTTAAGTATATAATGTGCTATAATATCTATTAAAAAGTAACTAACCCTTGTGGCCCACACCTGTACCACTTAAGGCAGTTTTATGCATGGGAATATGAATCAGACTATATTATGGCTAGGTTTGTATTGCTTTCCACTCACCTATTCAAAATGTCGCATCTTCAACAGAAGTGAAGCCCTGGTTTGCTTAGGGTTTTTTTTTCTTTTTGCAGTAGGTCCCTCAGTCTCACACGGCTTCACTGTTGACCGAAAGTGTTAACTTGGAAAGAAACAAAATCCCAGCCATCACCAGACAAAACTGATTGCATCACCCTTAAACTACGCGTGGGCTTGATGGGTGGGGGTGGGCTGCTCCCTGCTCCTGCCACGGCACCTCCGGGCAGCCGGGACCTCTCAGGCTCCCCATCCCTTGGACCACCAGGGGGAGCAGAACGGGTCTATGAAGGCAAGTGAATTTTCTCAGGTAATTTCTGGGGAAAAGAAAGGTCCTCCACCTCGTTTTCAGGATCGTACAATGATTTAAAATATTCCTGTTTTGCCACCCCAATAAGAGCATGGCAGACCATGTGCAGGATAGCTTATCAGGAGACAAAAGCCAGAAAGCCTGCAGTTCAGCCAAGAGTGGAAATATGCTTCTGTGCCTGATTAGGTGTCCAGCCAGGGCATCAGTAGGTAGAGAAACACCTATGAGTACATTGCTGATGAACAAGCAAGTGGAGTTTTATGCAGGGATAGTGGACTTCTAGTCCATGTTTAGTCCTTCCCACTGGTATGTTGTCTCCGTTAGGTGAAGAATACACATGGGAAGGTGCCCTCCCGATCTGACTGGAGCCCAAGTAAGGAGCTGTCTACGTTCCTGGTGGCAAGAAGACATGATCATTCATCTACTAGTGAAGAACAGAAGCAGAAAAAGATTAAGATGGGATGGGACTACTGGAGGTCTTTAGCCCAAATACCTACTCACAGCAGGGCTAACACTAAAGCTGTGTCAGGTTGCTCTGGTCCTCGTTCAGGCAAATCCTGTACATCTCCAGGGCTGTTCCTCTCTGGATATGTGAGAAAGAGTGGGGGAATGTCCCCTGCTTCTACTGGGATGAGCAATTAAAATGAAACCCTACACCTACACCCTGTCTCTATCAGCTTCATTCGTTCCCTTGCCCTTGTTATTCTTCTCAGCGGAGGAAGATAACCAGCTTGACTACTTGTGCAGTTAAACCCCCAAGTCCCTAAGCTAGGGGTGATCATTTTGTGATCAAGATGACCCACTTGTTCTCCTTTGTAGGAGTTTAAAATAGCTGAAGTCTGAGTTTCCAAATGAAAAAAAAGTCGATGTACAAAACTAATTTAACAGCTTAAACCACTAAATGGTAGGAGTCTATTTGCTGCAGAAAGACTGTCTGAAGCTAGTTGTTTGAAATATTTTAAGATAATTGCTTGTGGAGAAGAGACAAAAAACTCTCCAAGATACAAAAGAAAACACTAGAATATGAAACGGTGGTCATGGAAGTGAGAATAAGAGAGAGCATGAATTCTCTACAGGGAATGCAACATCAAAAAAAAGCGTCCCCTGTGCTCTACAGAGCTGTCATAGATTTTTCTTAGCGCTGTAGAGCTAGTGGATAAAGGAGTGAATCAGAGGCCATAGAACAAGGGCGAGTTCCTCCTTTAGACTGAAGTGGGGCTTGTTGCAGGATGCAATTGGGGCCCCCGGGAGCCCTATAGATCTATGTTACTATAGCATCTTACTGAAAGCCGGTTCAAGATGCACAGATTCAAGTTATCAATACCAAAGGGATGCTTTAATAGTTTGGGAAGTAATATCAAGCGAGGAACTCCAGAGGTTGTTTCTAGGCTCAGTTTCATTCATTATCTAGGACATTTAACAGCACAATGCTGAAACTCATAGCTCCTTCTGAAATGTGAGGAGCAGCAAGCACAGTAAACAATTTATAAGAAACATATGAAAGGGTTCTGTCTGAACTGCAGTTCAAAAGAAGCACGTCCCAACCCAGTCTTGGGAGTGCCCTTTGACTGTCCCAACAGCACATCAAGGCAAGACCTGGTGCATACCATTCCTCCTCACTTCCCCCACCACAAGCCCACATGTCTGTAGGAGGAAAGCCCAGGTGTGTTGTGTAGTGATATTTTCCAGCTAGATACCTAATCTCAGCAATACACAAAATAGGATACTGGGAAATGGAAGGAAAAAATATGCTTTGTGATTCAGAAATACTCAGAGGGACTAGAAACACAGGATGAGATTCAACCCAAAGACACGCTGAGAGTGAGTTTAAAAGATACAGTTACCTTCTTACTATCAAAAAGCATGCCCACGATGGGAAGGTCACTGGGAAGCCATAACACTGAAAAGGTTGTGGAAGTGTAAATCATAGAATCACAGAGTCATAGAATATGATTGTAAAGATACAAGTTTTTTTAAATTGTTATTTCAGATTTATTTTTTTTCACTAGACACTCAGGGCACTCACTGGGTACAGCCTCTGTGTAGATTTCTTCTTTTTCCCTTTGCATCTGCATTTCAGTGCAGAGGATACCTGGCAAAGCAATGCAGCAGAGCTTTTAGAAATACCAGTAAAGTTCCTGTCATTTGGGGTTTCTACTTTTTTATGCTTCCACTTGTTTACAGATTTGCTGCAGCACTTGGTCTTGCTGTAACATTAGATTGCATTTTGTTTGACTACCATTGTACACATTCTGGCTAGGAGCTATAGTAGGTGAACTCCAATCTACAAAATAACAAAGCCTTAAATACGATTTCTGACCACTGTCATCTGGAATCCCCCAATTTCTGACCCCATCAGCCAACACTAATGAGGGGAAGAAAAAGAAAATAAATCTTTTTTAGGTCACCTTCTCCAATAAGCTCTAGTAAATCTGTTCTTGTCTATTCCAAATAGCTTAGATCCAATGTCCTGGGTATCTGCCCACTAATGAAACAGAGACAGAGCATCCCCAGGTTTTTCACCCCAGAGCTTTGGCACTGCTGAGATTCTACAGATGCAAACTTGGGTAGCCCTGAGGAACTGAATGTAAGGCTGCAAGACTGATTTTGTTTGCCTTAGGAAGGATATGAGCTCCTGAGCTGCCCTAGAACCTTACCCAATTGCAAATGTTTTTTTCCCATTTCATGCCTATATAGGCCTCGCCTATCTTGTCCCGTCACAAAGGAGAAGTTAGCCGTGGGTCTGTCTTCCCCACTGCAACATCATAGACTGAAGAAGGCACAGTACTGTACAAATGAAGACTGAAATGGATGCATTCCACTAGTGCAAACTCAAGCTATGGCATGTAGAAAAAGAAACTGGTGCTGCAATGGGGGTCATTCAAATGTGGGGGAAAGGTGGGCATAAAAATTTAGGACTTAGCACTGTAGACTGGGAAAGAGCACTTTGAACGGGATTAAACTGGAATAAATTTAAGATATAACTACTCTGAATGATGATATTTTACTTCATGTGCTATGTAAAATTTAAAGCTTAGTATTTCAACCATTTGTTCTCAAATTTCTCTTGCCTGTGTTCAAACTTCTTGGGATAGATTTTGGTTTTCCAAGATGTGTGGTTAAGGAATCACAGACCTCATTGAAAGATTTAGATGCAAGGGGCCTCAGGAGGTCTGTAGTCCCAACCCCTGCCCACAGCAAGGCTGACCCCAGAGGTAGGTAAGTCGCTCATGGCTGTGTCCTGGCAAGTCTGGAACATCTCTAAGGGTGTAGATCCCCCAGCTTCTCTAGGCAACCTGACAAGGTCCTTTCTTTAGCTTTTCTTGGGGAGAAGGAGGAAGAGCGCAGGAGGTATGTAGCCTTATGGCAAATGGAGGAATAATGCCATTTTACGGGGAGGGGTATAATAGCTGTGTATGGATGGGAGTAATATCCTTGATGAATGGCAGAAGAGATACCAAAAAAGTGAATTCTTTCATAGTTACGTCCCTCAGGAAGGAAACTAAAAGTCCCATGAGGTCTTCCTGGATAGAGAGAGAATCATTCTGGCTCAGTTCCTCTCCCGCGATTATTTTATTGAAAAGCAGGCACCGTCCATTGATGCTGAGGAGCTTATTAAAAGAAAATAGCAATTTTATTAAGAGAAGACAGTAATTTGCCAGATAAAGTGGCATGGCTATCACTCTGTGACGTGCTGTCACAGCTTGGGGAGCAAAATGGGCCACTGCCACTGGATATATCCTAAATATCGACTGCAAGGATGGCTCGGTGGTTTTAAGCCACTTTGTGGAGAAGTGGAGCAAGCAGTCTCTAGAATCACAGAATCGTTTAGGTTGGAAAAGACCTTTAAGATCATCAAGTCCAACCGTAGTGGACTCGAACGCAGCGTCTGGGCTGTTCTCGTCTGGAGGTGGCAATAGGGAGCCGCTTACGGGAGTGGAGTGGAGCAAAGGTGGAGGGAGGCTCCCAGGAAAAAAGGTGGCTGCCTTTAAGGTGGGTTTATTTGCCTGCCAGATGGGAAGTCTGTGACCAGCCCCTTTAAAACAGGTAAAGGCAGTAAGGCTTCTCCACCCACTCGCCTTGATCTTTCATCATAACTGTGGGCCAGGCGGGGAGGTTGTGCAATGTGCGCGCTCCAGCCAGGAAGCTGCAGGAGAGGTTCATGCACTGCCAGCAGGAGCCAAGGCTGGGAGGCCTGAGCCCGGGGAGCAGGCAGGGGCTGGGAGCCAGCCCCCCCCCCCCCAAAGCCTGCATGGAGCTGAGGACTTGGGGCAGCGGGATCGAGCTCTCCCTCTGGCTCCAGCTCTTCTGGGCTCTCCTTCCTCCCGAGGTGTCTGGGAAAGAAGGTAAGCGTGGGACCGGCTGGTCCCTCCGCCTGGAGGGTTGGGCTTGGGCGGGCAGGCAGAGAGGGACCTCTGGGAGAGGCAGGGAGCAGGGCCTGGCCGGCATGGGGCCCCAGGGGCACCCCGCAGCCTGCCCAGAAGGACTGGAGGAGGACTGGGGTGTCTGGGGAGGGCAGGCTGGTGTGGGGGGTGAGAGCGAGGATCAAACCCCATCAGCTCTCGGTGGCTCAGAGAACTGACCCCAGGTATGTTTCCCCCCCTCCCTGTCCACCTCTTCCCAGCTGAAGCACAGATGCCTCAGCATATCCACTGACCCAAGATAATTCTGCCTCTGTTTGCCTTAAACACAACCGTTGCAGATAACAAGTTTAAACACAAACTCAGAAAGTTTCTCCCCCCCTGCCAACACCCCCGCAGTTTCCTCAGGAAGCCCTCCTGGGAGTTAACCCTTGTGAGCAAGAGGACAACCAGTTTTTTGGAGGCTTGGAGGGTGAGACAGTCTCCTTCATCTGCCCCAGTGTTGAAGATGGAGCTGGGCTTTACAGTTTCCTCTTCCACCTCTTCTCTTAAGACTCCCGTGCTTCCCTTCTCTGTTCTGCTTAGTCCCTTTTATTAGATGTATTGATCTTTTCTTCTTCCATCTTGGCAGTTGCACAGTGGTTATGAAACATCTGGGGAATGGGAATTTTAATAGAGATGTGAGGAAGCGTAAATCTCTGTTCTGTTCCCTACCTTCTCCTGCAGTTAATTCCTGCCAGTGACTTCTAGTCTCTCTTTTGCACAGTGAGAGGTGTTGGGGCTTTTCCATCCCAACGACAGCCCTCTCCTTTGCTGCTCCGGGCTCTCAATCGAGAGGACTTAGTCATAACCAGCCATTCAGCCATGGTCTCATCTCAGACTCTGTGAGTTCTGAGCACTCCTTTAAAGCATTCTTGACAAATATTAAGGATCCAGCTTCATGGATGCAGCTAGCAGACACTGTGGAGGCGGCCAGCCTAGCTGAGAAGTAATACAAGGTAGCGCCACACAGGCTCTGGTTTCCGTAAGTGTGTGACCAGTAGCTGGCAGTAATACTTGGGGACTTCTCTGCCAGCTTCTCCCCTATCTGAACCATCTCATCTGGGCTGTGTCTGTGATCCACTCTTCCTTAATGCGTCTATCTGGGAACAGCTCATTTCCCTGGTGTCCTCTCTTATCTGAAGTCTTCCTTCTTTTTGGGGCAACCTCCTCCCATGTGGCTGGCCAGCCACGTGAGTTTCGTAGCAGTGAGGCTGTGGACCAAAGAGCTAGTGGCCCCAGAGTACTCATATTCCCTGTGCTCTTGTAGTCTTGCTGACTCATTCTTCCTTTGCTTGGAGAATCCCAGATGTGGGTTTCACTTTCAGAGGTACTTCTTGGGAATGGACTTCGCCCCCTTCCAGTGGGCACTCAGCAGCTGAAGGAGTCGATGCTGGCAGAGCAGTGGCCTGACACATGGGCTGTGCCAGGTTCCCATCCCAGCTGCTTCTGAGTTCCTCTTCCCTTGCTCTGCTAGGACTTGCCAAGCAGCCCCTTTCACTTCCACATCACTGCTTCAGGCCTGAAGTGCGTGGGATAGATATTATCTGTGTGGCCGTTCTGGAAGGACAGGCTACTTCACCCTGAGACTTTTTGCAGCCAACACCACCAGAACAGTATCTCAAATAGAGAGACTGAGAGCAGAAGGGAAGGGATTGAGGAGCCTTGTCTGCACAGGCAGTCTGTGGCTAGGAACATTTTGCCATATGACCATGCTGTGAATGCCGCGAACTTGCAAAACCTGGATTCCTGCTTTTCCCTTCTCCCAATCCTGAAAGGGTGTTGCAGAGGTGAGAACAGCAGTGCAATCCCTCTTATCTCTGATTCTGGGCCCACAGCCTGCTTCCTCATTCCATGGGACTCTTGCTGATCTGCACTTTACACCTTATTACTTGTAGTTGGCAGGCAGTATTTGTAAAGCAGTCAGATGAGGGGTGGAAATCTGGTTATTTAAATGCCATTTAAATATTTCCCCCCTCCTACCTTTCACCCCCAAATTCTTTTCTGAGATATTTAGAAATGACCCCTCTGAATACACCCACAGGAATCTAAAAGGGAATCCAAGGAATTTTTCCTGTTTCCTGTGCTCCCAAGCGGGGGCTGTGATAGGTGCACCAAAACCAGTAGTCTCTTCTGACAGCACGGGCAGACCCAAAGGCAGGCATGAGCTGCGCATCCAGCAGTATGACTTACTCCAACTCCTCTCCCTTCTCCCTGTTTGCCTACGAAGTGGTACATTAAAATTTCTCTTCCGGTCAAGACTTGAGGGCAAACTCTGATCACATTTCCAAATTTCTTTGAGGGCTAACAATGAACATACGGCTGAATTTCTCCTTTGTTGCACTGACTCCGGGAGCCAAGGCTTAACACCACCACCATGACGTGCAGTTCTGCAAGAGGTGGCATTGCTATGCCTTGGGAGCCACATTCAGCTAAAACCATTGTGTGGGGGAGAGAGTGAAACGATTTCTAGGCCTCCATCAGATGGTAGACAGCCTGGGTCAGAGGTAGAAGGCTCAGCAGTTTGAGCAACTAACTCATCTCATAGCTTTTCAGTACTGTGATGGTGGAAAGTCCCTTCTACAATTTCACGCTGCCTCTGTACTTTCCCACAGTGTTTCAAGCACTGAACAGTACCTCTAGGCGACAATGATTGATCTTTTGTGTTGGTTATTTATTTGATTGCCTGTCTCTTCATCCATTTTGCCTGTCTGTTGCCTTCCTACTCCAAGGAAAGATGTGTTCAGCTGCTAATGCTGGGTTCCCATTTCAATAGGCTTCAGCCTCCTGCTCCCATTTTGGAGCAGCACAGGAAGCAGAAAAAATTGTCAGGATTGCATTTTTAGGATGTGTGAGGTTATTACTTGAGAGGAGGGTGGGAAAGGGAGAGGGGTCTCATGCAAGAGGAAAATCTTTTAACTCCTGACTAGCTGTGCTGTTTTGTATCTTCCTGTCCTTCCTCTAGCCATGCATTTTGAAGGTAAAAGCTCACAAAGGATGAGGGGCTGAGAGGGAAGTGCAGGCTTTGCCTTCTGTGACAAAAGGAGGATGAAGCCAGTCCACAGGCCATATGAGTTGGGTCACTGATTTTTATTTTTTTTTCCCCCCCTTCTTTTGGTGTTCAGTGGATCTACTCGACACAAGCACTGCTCAGGGTGAACTGGGCTGGCTTCCAGACCCTCCAGAAGTAGGGGTGAGTACACAACATTCAAGGAAGGGGAGCCACTGTAAGTACTAAGTGATGGAAAAGCATAATTCAAGTTGAAATTTCACCCTTCCTCCCAAAATCGGGCTTCTGCAGCTCCACCCTCTCCTGGACATCGTATGCTTTGTAAGTGTCTCTCCCTTGCAGCCCCTTCACCTCTGCAGCCTCACCCACTAGCCAGCTGCCTGAGGACTGATGCTTCATTGACTTCCAGTAGCTCTCAGTGATAAAACATGTCCTTGAAACACATTGTTTCCATGTAGTAATAAAACTTAATGGAGAAAAAGAAAAAAATCAAATAATTGCCCTGTTTTTCATCCTAAGATGTTGCGAATGCATCTTAGGTCTCCTTTTCCAGGCAAATAGCCATGGCAGAAGTATTTCTGTCTCCAAGTCTCTTAAGAATTTAGAATCTTTGTCTGTTTAAGGTTGTTCTCTCTTTTTTTCTCTTGAGTACTAAACTGAATGATTCAGTTACAATTTTTTTAAATCAGCAGCTGACTGAAGAAATAACTGTAAACTCATGAGGCAGCAATCTGGCCGACTGGATGGGCTGCAAGGTTCTAGGACTTTACACAGAGCCCTAATGCTGTGTTTGGCCCACACAGCTGATAATGAGAGAGGCATTTCCCTTTGTTTCATGAGACTAAAACTGAGTTGATGGAAGTGCTTCAAAATCTACTCCTGAAACCACTGCAAAATTGGATCCCAAAAGACAGCTGAGCTCACAGCTATTTTTGTACAAGTACAGCTATTTTGCATCAAGTACAGCTGAGCAGTCCTCCTAGCATCACAGCCTGCGTTGTTGAAGATGGTTTCCTTTGTAACAGCCGGACTGTGGGAGAGGTGGAAGGCAGGCTCAAGAAAAAGGGAATTCAGGGACTATGCTGCAGTAATTAGAAGGATGTATATTAATACATAATTCCAGTTCCTTGTGGATGCTCTTATCTTTCTAGCAAGCCCCAAGCTCTCCTACATAGAAAGAGTCTTTACCCTTCCTGCTTATAAAGTAGACCTGGGTTCAGCCTGTTCCTAACTCATTTTCATAACTTTCCCCTGTAATATGCTGTGGCTGATTTAAATTCACCCCAGTCTCCTCCTACTCCTGGTAGTCTTGCTGGGTGAACTGGAGCCAGACAGTGAAGTTCTCCTGTACTGGCATAACTGCATTTGTTTCATTAGTACAGCTGTTTTAGTTGTTGTTGTTGTTGTTATTATTATTATTATTATTATTATTATTCCCTACTCAAAACAGGTGCCCTAGTGAGACATACATGTAGATCATATTTTGCCCATTGTTCCTTTTGTTGTCCCCATCAACTGCCTCTGTGGTAATTTTAACCTAATACTAGGCTCCAGGCATGTTCAGGATGAGGTCTGCCTTAAAGAGATTGGAAAAAAACCCTGAAAAGTGCATTCTAAAAATAATCTGATAGAAAGAAGACAAAACCTTTATTACAGAACATCTGATTTTTGCACAGTAGGTTCACAGCACTGCTAGGAGTTGGCATACCCTTAAGCTTGTGCTGCCTCTGGTTTTTAAAATATGTGTATTTAATATGCAGTAGTTGCAACTGGGAATTGTAGAAGATGCTGGAAAACATGGCCTGAAAGCAATCTAAACTAAATAGATCAGGATACTGATGACTGATAAACTAGCAGAGGATGAAGAACAGATTCATTGACTTCTGGTGAGCTACTCTTTTGCAGGGATTTGTCTAATTATGTCATTTCCCAATAACTAGTAGGTGGAAGGCTGACAAATTGCCACAAGCAAAAAGGGAACAATGGATGATTCTGTTGGAATCAGAACTTTGAACAACTGTTTCTGAAACCATTCTTCCAAAATGAAGGAGTAAATGTGTTCAAAAGAGAACTGAGATTAATTCAGAACATTTTCTGACACAAAAGAGATTAATACTGAATAGACAGACTAGCTCAATTAGTAACAGACTGGAAACATCTGAGCTGTACTGCATACAGAGTTGAAGGGTGTATTTCATGCCACACTGCTATTTCTACCTAACCTCAGATGCCAGAGATCTCCCATCTGTAAGCTGGATTCCATAGAATCATAGAACCATTTGGTTGCAAAAGACCTTTAAGATCATCCAGCCCAACTGTACCTGTCCACTACTAAACCATGTCTCTAAGCACCTTGTCTACCTGTCTTTTGAATACCTCCAGGGATGGGGACACAACCACTTCCCTGGGCAGCCTGTTCCAGCGCCTGATAACCCTTTCAGTAAAGAAATTTTTCCCAATATCCAATCTAAACCTCCCCTGGCACAACTTGAGGCCACTTCCTCTCTTCCTATCGCTTGTTACTTGGGAAAAGAGACCAACACTCACCTTGCTACAACCTCCTTTCAGGCGGTTGTAGAGAGCAATAAGGTCTCCCCTCAGCCTCCTTTTCTCCAGGCTAAACAACCCCAGTTCCCTCAGCCGCTCCCCATCAGCCTTGTGCTCCAGGCCGCTCACCAGCTTCGTTGCTCTTCTATGGACACACTCCAGTGCCTCAATGTCCTTCTTGTAGTAAGGAGCCCCAAACTGAACACAGTATTTGAGGTGCAGCTTCACCAGTGCTGAGTACAGGGGAAGGATGACTTCCCTGGTCCTGCTGGTCGCACTATTCCTGATACAAACCAGGATGCTGTTGGCCCTCTTGGCCACCTGGGCACACTGCTGGCTCACATTCAGATGGCTGTTGACCAACACCCTCAGGTCTTTTTCTGCCAAGCAGCTTTCCAGCCAGTCTTCCCCAAGCCTGTAGCGTTGTGTGGGGTTGCTGTGCCCCAAGTGCAGGACCCGGCACTTGGCTGTGTTGAACCTTATACAACTGGCCACAGCCCATTAATCCAGCCTGTCCAGGTCGCTCTGTAGAGCCTTCCTACCCTCAAGCAGATCAACACTCCTGCCCAACTTAGTGTCATCTGTAAACTTGCTGAGGCTACACTCAATCCCCTCATCCAGGTTGTTGATAAAGTTGTTAAACAGAACTGTCCCCAACACTCAGTTTGTGTCAATATGCTTATCACACAGAGGAGGAATTTGCTGTGAGGAATTTTCATGCTTTATATGGACAAAGTCTCCGAGGCATAGCTCAGAAGAGATTGGGTAATGCTGTGGAGGCAGAATTACACCTTTGTTTTCACCTCACTTTTAGCCACTGACAATGGATGAGGTGGCTTGCCATGTGGGATTGTTTCATGGCCAGACTTGGTCTGTATCCAAGTATAGACAATGCTTCTGTTAACACATGCACAGCCTAAGAACGCCAGGCATTGAATCAGGCAGTTTTGGACAGCATTTTTCTGGACTCCTAGAGTACATTAACTGGCAATGAAATCTTGCCTAAGCTTAAAGGTAGTCTTTAAGTGAAAGTGTCTGTACTTAAGTAAAGTGTCTGTAGAAGTTTGTTTGCCCAAAGTTTTGTGCTAGCTTGCTTTGTAATAGCTGTTTAGAAAGGGTTTCATTCATTTTAGGATACTGTTGGAAACTAGGCCCTTAAAAAGGCACATTGCAGTTCCTATAATCACTTTCTTATCTTCCTTACCACGCCCCCATTGTCTGACAAATTCCTTGATAAATTTTTTGTCTCTAAACTTTTGAGATAGCAATACCAGTTGGGCATGGGGAGACATATTACAGTACTAGTGGTAGATTCCTGTCTTTCAACATACATTACAGAGCTAATGATGATCACTTTGAAGGTGTGAGGACTCCAGAATTTGCTTGCTCTGACATTTCATTAAGGCTCCCCATGCTGCAAAAGCAGCCTGGCTACTTGAACTGGTTTAAAAAATGACTGAAACTGTCCAAAAAGGACTTCTCAAATCCTATAATGAACAAATTCAGTTACTGGGCATTGTAGCACTGCTTCTTGGCAGTTTGTAAAACAACAGTATAAAAAGTTATTTATCTCTATTTTGCTTTCAAGTATAATTGCATCAGCTTTGAACAGATGGTGATGTGGAGTCATGTTATCCTCTTGCATTTTGCTTTTAACAGACAAGACCCTGAGCAACCCTACCTGGCTTGCAAGTTAGCCTTGCTATAGCAAGGAATTGGAGTAGAGAGACCCACAGGTCCCTTCCCACCTAATTGTTCCTGTGTTTATGTGATAGTTTTGCAGTGTTTGTTCGTTAGCATTCAGAGCTTGCATTTCTAGCCCAGGCATGAAAGGCTTTCCCAGTTTTACCAGATTTAATGTTTTGAGCTCTGTAATACCTATTCCTATGGATTTTCTGCACCAGTTTATGTAGGCGTATGATACAACATATGGGGCAATCTAATATTTGTCTTTAGTTGCTATGATTATTTCATCCCCAGCTTGTGGGCCTATCTTGAAGTTTTCCTTTTGCCCACTATTTCCAATTTCTTTTTTGTGCATGTGAATATTATTTGCATAATCCAGCCATACCTTCACGAGTATATGTAACTACTTAAGTTCCCAGCCATTTTTACTGTAGGGTGCTGTACACTGGGCCGCTCAATATGGCTTTCTATCTCTGTGCTGTTGAACACTTTAGTCTTTTTTACCTGGTATATTTTCTTGGGATGCATGCCTTTACCAGTTCTACAGGTGTTTGCTTGTAAAAGAGTCCTTTTTAACAGTAACTTTGTTTTTCAATTGGGTATCTGTTATTGCAGAAATCACACAAACTCTGTTGCTGCCACTAATTGCCAAATTGTGTCTTATTTATTAGATATCAAAGGTTCAGCAATGCTCAGTTATCAACTGGTAGCTGGTTTATGGAGCTTATTTTTCCCAAATTATATTCCTGCATGGATCACAGTATTATTAAAGTTTTCAGATGCTTTACTGAGTCTCCTTTCTAGGCTGCCATTGTTCTCAGTCTCCTATGCATGGTGAGGTGGAGCACATAATTTTTTCTGCCTATTACATGCTCTTGCTTGCTTCCATACATCCTTCAAAGTGTGGCTGTCAGTATCAAACTTTCTACCACATCTCCCAGTCTGCATGG